TTAAAAATTGGTACAACTTAGACACTTATTTAATCATACTACTGAGAGAAAACAGTTACGTATAAGAATAGAGCCATCTGATATTTGGTACTCTCTATCTACAACGAATAGGGAATGTAGAGAAAATAGATAAGATAATTGGCATATAAGATTATCAAATAGAACAACAATATATAAAAAGAAAACGTTTTACGAATAGGTATTATTTATCTAGTTCTACAATATGAATAGTATTCAATTTATGTATATAGATTTATTTCAATATGTATATACAATATGCATTGAATATATTACATAATCTATGCAGATTATGTAATCACATGTTAAGTACGCATATTGTGCTGAACGCAAACTGCCAAACAAGCAGTCTCGGGACTAAATGTTCGATGAGTTTTTTATATAATTGGAGTGAAAAACAAGCTGACTGTTTACTTGATCGTATAATAAATTGTAACCGTCTATAAACATACACTGCAGCACAGATACTAAAATAAAAATATATAAATTTATTAATTCTCTTTTAAAGTATTTATAACAGTGGACATTCTGTGCACAATAAAATTCATATATTGTGTATTCTACAAATATGATATAATACCTACTTGCAAATTATTAAAAGTATATGTGTCCAACAAATAATACAAAATTGCAAACTGTGACCATGAAATCGCGTCTGACACGCCGTAATATTGATCTCGTCAATATTGGAAATTGAACATCGTTGTCCCAATTTAATTCAATAGAAACGGAGCGGACCGTCGTATATATATATACGAATATGTAGCCCCATACACAGTGGTTATAGTATATGAAAATGTTAGTATGAAAAAGAAACATTAAGTGTTGCATGATTGGTGTTTAGTGCGTTATGTAAGTCAGATATATACTAAAGGTACAGTCAGGTATATAATAAAAGTATTATCAGAATGACAACGTCGTAGCTACGTCATGGCATATGTTACTGTGTGAAATAGGCAGAGATCTATATCATACCACATCAAAGCTCCAAATTGTCAGATTTCTTTCATATGTTGTATGTTATAAACTAAAAAAACTATATAAAATACTAGTCAAACTCAAAATCAAGAAACACATAAAAGTCTAAACCTACCCATATACAAACATATATTTTAATAATTCCAGAATTTTCGCACATTCCCACAAAAGAAAAAAAAACAGTTAAATAGCCGTAACACGTTTATTAAACTTCTAGCATTTATATAAATAAAACATTTACTCTCGTAAGAATGTTAATTTCTATAGTAGTTTTTGAAGTGTTTTTTTAATTGCAAAGGCCCTATGACCTATACTTAAATGAGTACAACAACAAGAGTATAATAAATGAGCGCAATAACCCCTGTACGTGTCCGGTCCATTACAGGCACTTTTACGACCTCCAAATAATGTGTATAGTCAGAATTATTTGTTCTATATAAAAAACATTTTCAAGATGAGTAATCACTTGCTTCTGTTCTGTACTGTGCTCGAATAATATGTGGTCATTCTGTGTTCAAATAATTCTGTGGATTCTTTATATGCATATACGACGATCGTATCGTAATACTTTTTCAAGATCCTATGACGAATCACCAAAGTTACTATTATAAACCTCTGGGACTCCAGACGTAATATTTATGATTAGTAACAGTCAAATGTAAAGTATTGTTCGACAAATCAAATCTATTATCCATCATTGTAACTTATTATGGGAACAACACAAATCAACAACAACAATCAACGCAAATCAATTCAAAAAACTAACAATTATCAGTTGTTATTTTTTATTACTACTTGATATGTTTTGTTGCATATGTGCTTACACATATGGAACCAACATACGTAGAAGTGAACTCTATCGGTTGTAAAAAGAATAATCGAAATATTTCGTTTTGGGGAACATTGCATAACATACACAAAAATATTCAGTCTAATAGACACCCTCTATCCACAGACTGTCAACATTTCCCTGATTTGCATTAACTCTATTTCGCTCCTTCAACGTCATAAAATGCTCTCCTTTTCCAAACCTCATCTGCATACACGCCTGAAGGACGTTTCCGCGAGGCATGCCATGAATAAAATAAATGCACATCATGTGGGGTCCCGTACTCGGGTTGCACTTAACGCTTTTATTGTACGGTCGTAAAAATGCTAAAAACGGACAAGTGAAAAACGACCGCTGTCCTTTACGTCGATCAACAGATATGTTTATTTAAATCTCATACAAAATTAAGCTAAACAAAAGCAGCCAACTCATGAGCTGTATCCGATACCTTTTAATATGAATTATTCATAAACGTCTCGGATAGATTACGTTGAAAACGATTTTCTGTGTGAAGTTGTGCGATATAATCAACAGTGGAGTGGTAAACATCCATTGTCATCAGCTGTATAGGTATTTAGAATACATTGCTTATAAACTGTAATGCTCAGTATTTACTGAAGTAAATAATTTGAGAATAGGAAATTAATAAACTTTAACTAACCAACGTATATATAAATACTAATTTTATTATCTTCAAATTTTAGTTTTACAAATACGATGTCAGAATTCCATAAAAGAAGATTAGAATACAAAAAATGGGGGAATCTTTTAAAACGACTATGATATAGATATTTAAAAGATCTATTCTATCTTGAATTGTAATCATCATGATCATCAGTTCAGCCCGGCAGATGTATTGTAATACAACTGAACAAAGTCTACCATATTCACATCAAATTGTTACTGTACTGATAATTTTGTATTACAGTTTATGTTATACTGTCAGATAATACTGTCCATCTACAATCATCTTATTATCATTAGTAGAAGAACCGTTGACCGGGTCCGTTAATCGTACGCCAGATTTAAGTGATCCTTAACCGTCAATAATTATTATTTTCAACAATTTATTGAATTTCCCTAAAACATCTTTAAATTAAAACGGTATTTGAAGATAAATATTTAATTTAAAAAGGTTTCCCTCTGTTAGGATCGCATTTACAGATCTCTTTGAACATAATTTACCAATTTATTTTTCATCTGATATAGGCGCCATGTAGTTTTTGCTTACCAACCACCAATTTGTGAATTTACATATCATTACATAACATATAGAAACTTTTATATATTTTGATAGACGGTGGTAACTATTAAGCAAGTTAAACCAAATATTGTTATTAGCACCAACATTAACTTATTTTATTATTCTTGCAACTTTTGAGCGTAGAAATTCTCGGTCGATGTCGAACCCCTAACTCGCGTTTCCTTTGGTCTTGTCAAAATTAGGCTTCGATGCAAAACGATTGAAGTTCCGCCATCGAAGACCAACTGGAATAAATGGGGGCCGTTAAGCCTCGAGCACTCCTAAGCTAATATAATGAAGCTGTCAGAACAGCCAATCGGTGGAGCAACAGCGATTTTATCTAGAACGGACCGATTTTTGTTAGGCAATAACCGCTTCGCTCTACGAGTTTCCATAAATAATCGCTTTCATTTTCAGTCTATTGCTTTAAATTGTTTTCGCAGTACCTTTTTCGAATGCAAAATACTTACTTAATATAGATAATAAATTAGGCGCTTTTATACTGAATATTTTCTTCATTGTGGGGCCAATGTCTGGGCAACGCAAGAATCGGCATCTCTATAATATTTATATACAATATAATATTAATATTTCGATAAATTTCGCACAAATACTGTGCTCTTATTTATTTTTCAGCTACACAAAGTAGAAAAGAAAATTAAATCTGTCCCAAACATGTCGAGTCATTTGCAAAAAGCCATTTGCGTGTGTTCAACATTGTCGTGTCAACATTTTAAAGCTCTATATTCCACAGCGGAAATTAAATCTAAGGTTGGAGACTAGGACTCATAATGAGCGACGAAGGACCGTAATTAAGGCCCTGGATACCAGACCTGAGTGTAACAGCAAAAGATATTTTATCAAATATATTGTTGGACATCTAAAGTTGTTTTAGAAGGTTGGAAGATTACATTCGAGACGAAGTCACTCTTTTATGTCTGCCCTATATATAATGTTATGTTATATAATGTTATGCCCTATATATAAGTAAAATCTATATACTGTTCTAAAAAGTACTTACTTTTTAGAAGAGTATATAGATTTTACTTTAAATTTAAATAATAACATTATATAGTTCATGAATAACAAAATTAGATTACAACATGTCTTTTGTGGTAATTAGGCATTGACAAATAACACAATAAATAGAAAATAATAAAAACTAATAAATATAATGCTTTTAAATTATAGTTTTAATACTATTCAAGAATTAAAAATACCACAGTAATTTAAAGTCTGTATCGAGATCGAACAATGTACGTATGTAAGTATTCATGCATTTGTATAAAATTCCCGTTCTTTATAATATTTGTGAACACAAACTTTGATTGCATTGAATTACAGAACTAAATCAGAACGATGTGCATTTCTGTGGAAAACGTGTGTACTTAGTTTCAGCGCTGCGCGGATTCTCCAGTGGTTGGTTAAACATATCTAATTCATGAATGTAATGCATTAGTGGGTTGAAGCTTTAGAATAAACAAGGCCACAAAGGAATTCCACCCTTACTGCCTTGTTATGCAAGACGACATTATTAATATTTAATATAATTAGCAAATGCATACGTTATGCATTACAGCCTAATTATATCACCTATTATACGAGCGATCCTACAGATAATTTTTGTTACGTGATTGGAATGGCAAATAAGCTGACTGTCCACCTGATGGTAAGAGGCAACCGCCACTTTCCATCACGTTATCATGAAACAACCGTGATACTGATGGATTGCCATTCCGGAAGACTAAGATGTCGTGTATCTTGTCCTATAATTTCCTAATCTCACCCCACACTAAAACACAGCTGAAAAAACAAGCTGCTTGGCGGCTGATATCGGTGTGACTGAGGTTTCCATGCAAACGACTTTTACAGTGTAGTTCCGTGAACGATAATATATAAATTATGTGATAAACATATGAAAACTTTACTTACGTGATAAGATGTGACAGCAAGTTGTGATAATCCGTCAACATAGGGACCCAGGACAGCGTGCTCTCGCACCCTCAAGGATCTCCTCGTTGTTTCTGGGTCTAGAAGATCATGGACCCTCTCGTTGTATATTTCCATATATGATACCTCCACCTGGAATAGTTTATAGATTTATTGTATCTCTGACTTAACGTATCCCCTATCTCCAGTGAGATAATAAGTAAAATCAACAAAGAAAATAATATACATACTGAATCACAATCTTATTATTAGTTACCGGTACATTACTCTGTAGTATTTAGTTGGTATTATTACAATACAAGGAAACTCATTATAAAAAGTGTAGTAACATGAATAAATAGGTTTACCTTGTAAGTGAGAGCTGGCGGTGACTGTTGAACTGCAATCCTTTCGAATAGAGCATCACATAGTCTTGGAATGATGCCGCCTTCATCAGCCCCCGGGGCTCCCATCATCGTATACGACTTCCCTGAACCTAGAACAAAAAAAAATACAATTGTTATATTGCCTCATAACACTTAGACGTTAGAGTGATTTGGTCAAACAATTTTAATATCGCTTTGCTAGCACTGTACTGTGCTTAGTCAATCTCTACGGGGACTTCGCTGGAAAGCATTGTGGTTAGTTCCTCGTGCATTTGTTACGATAATTCTCATGTTCATCGTTATCATTCTCCACTGGTGTCTCGCCAAGACATATAGCGTTGCGCTATAATGTCCTGGCGAGACATAGTGTAACATTCCATTATCAAAGTATATTGCTTAATCCCCATCCTATAACTTAATTTACTGTAGGACGCCACGTATATAGTGATTGTTATAAAAATATACGTTGTCTCTGGCACATCTAAGTTGTGAGAGTCGTACCAGTAATACGAGAGCCACAGACAAGAATGGACGAGTAACACTGTTTTAGAGTGTATATGTAAGAGTAAGAACACAAGCACATATAATGTACAATTTAATATGCATTCTAATGTACAGAGTTAGGTAACTCAGAAATAATAACTCCAAATAACAACAGTTGCACAGAAGTCTCATTTACACAGACATATTAAAATTAAATTAAATTACTCTGGAGACCCAGAATAATTACTGAGAATAAAGCTGGCAGCCACAATTAGTAAAATGGTATCATTTAAGCAATAAAGTAATATTATGAAAGAAATGACACTCGTATTTTGAACTGTGTAAGCAAGGGCCAAAATGAAAGAACAAATTAGGACGGGTTTATTTTTATGGGTAACTTTATCTACAAATGAATCTGTTTCTCAGATTCGTATGAAAACTTTGAGTCCAATTAAATTACAGACCGTTAAAATAAGGTACTTAATTCTACATTTCATATTTAAGTAGTGGTCATTTTGTTAATTTTTTTAGGAGACATTAAACAAATTAGTTCCATAAAAGTCATTCAAATTACAAGTCAATTGTTATCACACAAATAATATAAAGAGACAAAACAAAAAGCTTTTTTAATAACGGTATAAACATAACTGAAAGCATAATTATGGCTCTTTGTGAAGTATTAACATTTGTTACTGTACCTAATTAAACCTTTGATAATAATTTTAGTAAATTATATTGAATTTACTACTCTACTGTCTCCTATAATTTCACAAATATTTATCCTTTCCACCTTGTGTGGGTTGTAGGTACTAAAACAAAAGCTATTTATGTATATTATAATAAAAATACCTACTATATAATGTTATACAATAATCTATATCCGCATGAAATAAAAGTACTTGTAATCGAAAATTTTTGATAAAAACGACTTGCAAATTATTTTGACAATACATATGATGAAATTATACAGATTATTTTGAAATAATATAAATTTACATTGTACAGATAAAGTAAGAATACAATGTATCGTTACTCCATTTAACCCTCAAGATAGTAAAAATCAACCAAGGGAATAAAAACGAAATGAAATATGCAAGATATTACATCGGACATAAGAGAAGAGAAATTCTAATCGATACGCTATTCCAAAAGTCTGGCTTACGCTTTTTCTCATAAAAAAGAGTCCCAGGATGACTGTGTCCAGTAGTAGTAGTTTCAAAAGAATAATATATGTGTAGTTATTCTGTGTATACCTATAGATAGACAGATGGATAAATAATAATACAGAGAATACACTGGTTTTATAAGATATTAGTAGGTACAGCCCACTCCGATGGACTCTCTACAGTCGCCCCTATTCCGTAAGACGAAGCTGTGAAAGCCATTTACGGCAAACAGTATTAAAAAGTAGTGAGCCATGTCCTAAATAAATAAAGAAAGAAAGAGCAAAGCTTGTCTTACAAACAAATCGAGTTCTATGTCACACTGATTTAAAAACCTCCTTTTTCTTGTGCTAATTTACCAGTAAAATCTAATTTTCAATACAGTGCAGACCCATCGCTCTATAAATACAACTATTATATCATGTAGAGTGTGCGTATATAATATTCAATACATAGCGAATACATAGAACAAAGTCGTAAGAAATTGTGTATTTCGAATTTATGGCGTTATTATACGAGACTACCTGACACCGGTGGTCGTACTACACACGCGGTACGCCAGTCATAGAACAGAATCATTCCTGTTTTACAACCTTTGTGTAAGAGGCCATCCATAAATTACGTTACACGAATTTCATGAATTTTCCCCTTCCCCCCATCCTTGTCACATTTGTAGGACTCCCGAATATAACGTCACATATTTTGCAATTAGTTAAATATATATACTTACATTTAGTATTAAATGTAAGTAATGTAGTAATGTAATATTTGACTTTTAATTGTAAGGTCACGACACCCTTTGTCACACTTTGTCAAGCCGTCCCCCCTAATGTGTAGCGCAATGTAGAATGTAATACGTCTGGCAACGTCAAGTAGTAGGGTAAAATAAATAAATAACATACCAATCCTACAGCAATATATGTGGTCATTTCAGTACATGATAGAACAAGATAAAAACAATATAGAAAAATATATATGTCACTAATATAAATTTTATTACATATACTAGCTCAACGTCCCGGCTTCGCCAGAGTGTACATATATAAACCTTCCTCTTGAATCATACTATCTATTAAAAAAAATCCTTATGTATATTGTATTGGGATTTGTATTTTATAGCGTTATGTTTAGTTTTAATTATTTATGACATTTTTGTTAAATTATTACTTGCACAGTTTGACCCACTCAACACTTCCTATGCCACGCTCTATTGGGTTGACTGGAAGAGATCTCTTTTAGAGATAAGTCCTCCTTCGCTAACTATATTTCTAAGTAATATATTTATAAAATGTATTTAAGTGCAATAAAGAATATATAAAAATTTTAAATAAAAAACAGAGTTCAAAATAAGAAAGACGTCTATTGCCAACAGTATGGATAGCCCCTAATGTAACACAGAAGGCGAGATTTAAGACAATAAGGCGGGGACATAAATTATGCATAATCTAGTAATGCAAGCTTTCACGCACGACAAACGTTACATTGTAAACCGCACACGTATTTTCATTCTTTTTAATGGTTGTTTGTGGTATCTCTAATCTGTAGCAGAAATATTTAATTTGAGAACAGTTTACGTAGGATCGTCCAGTAATGCCTAAGGGCTTAAAAAAGGATTACTTTTTAAATCGACTTTAAAAAGAAAGTTTCTTAATTTACTACGCGCGAAGCTACGCAATATCTACAAAGTTTTATTTATTTATTTATTTTCCTTCACAGAAATATGTACAACGCAAAATCTTTTCAACATTCATTAGATACTAATCAACCTTTAGAGAAATATTATTATAATATCCATGACAATTTGTTACATTTTTAATAATATTAGTTACACTGATAGATAAATTTACTTCCATCCAAAATGGATAAGCAATATAAAATTCAACCAGTACAAGTCTTTGTTGATTGGCATAAAATGGAAGAAAATAGCTCAATTTTCAAGTCAACAACTGAATTAATCACTTAAGATTTAAGGAAATTACATTAAAATTCAATTTAGATTTAATTTCTTTCATACTATCCTTTCGCCGGTTTAATCTGCTGCGGATTAATTGGCCTGTTGGAGTTTCAACGAACGAAAACTTTACAAGATAGCTTTAGTAATTTTCCAACAATCAGTTTATTAAATAACGGTTTTTTTATGTGATTTGAATGGCAAACAAGCTAACAGTCCACCGTTCACCAGAGGTGGTAGGTGGTTACCATCATTCATAAGTATGTGACCACATCTAGACTGCCTCGGTAGTCTAGTACCTCGCCTTCCCATGATCGCTAGTTCGATTCCTCTCTCGGAAACATTTGTATTTATAAGTATAATTGTTTGCATTGGTCTGGGTTTTTTCTATATATATATGTGTGTATGTATGTATGTATATGTTTACAAAAAAAAATCGAAGTATTTATATCAGTTGTCTAATACCCCTGACAAGCTCTGCTTAGCATGGGTCTAGATGGCGCTGTGTGAATTGTCCTGAGATATTATTATGTATATGAATATCACTACGTACATCACGTTATCATGTGACACCCGTAACAGCTAATGACATGTATTATTCTGGAGGACTAAGAATTATCTTATCCTGTAATTTCAACTCAACATAACTTTCAAACCTAACCGCTAGGTAGTGAAAACATATAATTAAAACCCCTCTGCGGCATTTTACTATTGTAAATTGATTTTTTATATAATAACAGAAGAACTGCCATTTCTTGTATACAGGTAGCGAATGTTTAAATTACCCGTTCACTCATTTGTAGTGAATGGGTAATTTAAATATTCGCTACCTGCAATGACTGCAATGATTAATGATACTGATGTTATTTCAGATATGAACTTAAAATATTTCTTTTACTGAGAACAAAAATTACAGGTGAAGTACTGGTAATGTATTTTATTAACAACAACGGTTTGAACTGATATTATAAATTATGGAAGTGTATGTTTATATAATTGTTAATTTACAATTTCATAGCAAATTATCAGTATTAGATAAAAATATATACGTATCCTTTTTCAATTTCTATGCAAATTTATTTATATTATTAACCGGATATTAATAATATAAATACCTTTATACCTATTACACGAAAGTTTAAAAATATCTATGCATATTACATAAATATATATTTCATATGCGAGTGAGACTGAATGAGATTTTTTTTATTAACTGAACATCGCCGTGGCATATTTTATATGAATTATACTATTGTATACAGGTGTATACAATAGTATAATACTTGAATCGAAGATTAATTTCTCATGTACAAGAGCGATATATTTTTCATATTAAGGGAAAAATGCAACCGTCATCAAAATTCAAGTAACTACTCAGCGCCTATTGGCAGCCTTCCAATATACGAAGGGTCATCACTTACTCATCAGAGCTAGTCTATTAAATACAGTCGCTGCGATGTAGTAACACTACAAGTATCCATTCCCACTACAAAATACAGTGAAACGACCAATA